ACCGTCTAACCCTCTAATTTCGCAGGTTTATTTTATTGTCATTCACTTTTTATCACTGTTTTCGCATCTAAGGGAAATTAAAGAGTTCATGTCCATGAATTAAGAATTTGTTCGATGTTTTAATTTGTTCCCTCATTTTAGTTAAATCATGGGTTATTTAAGGAACAAAATTAATGAAACATGGACAGTGGCCAGCAGCTGAGTCCTTAGCCATCTTCAAGAATCGGCTAAAAACCCATCTCTTCCATCTTTATTTGACCCTCTAACTCTAGCACGCTCTATTCTAATTCTATTCTTTTAAAAAAGTGCCCCTTTTAGACTTGCACTCTCTTTATTTACTAACTGCTTGTTTTCTTAAAAAAAAACTAACACTACCTTCTCTAATCTTTTTGTATTTTATCTATTTGTTTTCTTTTTATTTATTAAACAATTAACAAAAGCAAAAAAGGTCTCTAACATTAGCTTGCTGTATTCTTTTTTTCTATTGTTTTCTTTTTATTATATAATAAAAAAATAACTTGCTACGTGTACTGCGTTAAGCTGAGACTTGTTATAGCACTTGCATATCATTGCTCTTTTGTTGATTTTGATTGCTTCGTAAGTCGCTTTGGATAAAAGCATCTGCTAAATGACTAAACGTAAATGTAAGAACAAACCAAAAAAATGGTCAACTTGCTGCTCTGACATCATGTACCAATGTACAGACAAAAAGATGTTGAGACATTTCTGAACTCATTTATGAGTAATTTATGAGTGAGTTTTAGGGAATGACAACAGTTAGAAGTTAGTGCATGATTAGGCTAGGGTAAGTGAAGCTCCCACTAAACAAACTTAAAATGAAGTTTAAGGGTTGTTTAAGTGCCCTAAAACTATTTGAACACAACGGAAAAATCAAAATCAACAATCCACAAATAAACAACGCTTTATCCTACACACTTTACCTTCAGATCCTGGCTGTTTCAGGACACCAACGGGCACCATTACGGTTGGGGGTGGGGAGCAGAGTGCTCCTGATGCCTGGGCTTGTTGCAGAGGGGGAATAGTGGAGCAGTACTCAGATGGGTTGTTGGGATTTGGGCTCTGGTTGCCTCCTCCTCCCATGTTCTCCCATGCTTGAGCTAATACGTAAGACGCAGAGTTCAAAGGATCTGGTTATTCACATAGTACAACTAATTTCAAGTCTTGACTGGTTAATTTCTGTATAAAAAAGACATGTAACCAAAACTCCTATGAAGTGATTCAATCTGGGAAATTCTGAGGTACAAAAACTCCCAGTCTATAGAGGGAAATTTATAACTACTCCTATGAGTTTCATATCACTCACCATTCATAAGTGCACGATGGCAGGTAACACAAACCCTCGCTTCTTTCCTGTCCATGTACATCAGCCTGCTTTTCAGACTACAACAAGCAGCACAGAACACCTGGCCAAACACACACCACGAACAAAATATGTTTGCTTTGATAGAAACAACACCAGAAAATGAGACATCATAACAAATGAGGCATAATAACAAAACAATGTAAAGAAACTACATGAATCGGTCATGAACCAGTTGTCAGAACATCAGAAGTGGTCTAGAACAATCACACTTCTGTCAGATTATACCATTTTGCACCACAGATACATTTAATTTTCACTCTGCTCTTTCCAGTTGTTCTTTCCAGCCCATATCTGTGAAAATGTCATCAACAATGCAGCAGTTTATCACCAAGGGAAATTAAGGCGTTAGCTATTCCAGCAGTCTTGCAGTTATTTTAAGTGCTGCATCGACAACCATTTCTCCCTGAAGGATTTTGACAGTTTCACAGGTTTGGAGCTGCCTGACAATTACCCTTACTTCCTTGCAATTTTGCTCTCTCATTCTAAGTCAGCGTCCCACTAGCTGATTCAAAGCAGCTTGATTTTGGTCAAGGATGTCACATCCGACTGCTCCTCCTGAAATTTTGCCCTCTTCTGTTGAGGGTCTGTCACATTTACTAATTAAGAATGGAAGAGGGGTGCAACAGATGAAACGAATGAAGTGTAATGCAAAATACTTAAAACATAATTTGAGAAAGTACAAACAGATTGGTCTGCGGATGATTGGACAAACTTGAATTCTGCTTGAGCTTCCAACTTGCCAGAAGCCAATATCAAATTGATTTTTAATTTCTGAAGAAAACACAAGTGGTGCTTACCTATGCACTGCCAAAAGGCAAGAGTGTTGTGGCCTGTTGCCAGTGTGGTGGTTTTCAAGCATGTTGATAGAGTAGTTTTGGTAGTTACTTGGCCAAGTCAAAAGAGCCAAATCTTATCTTAAGCCTGACTGCTTAGAAAAGTAACATCACACCACTCCTCAAAAATTTGTGCAAATTAAGAAATCATGTACCTTGCCACAAACGAGTTACAGCCCGTTAGTTAAATACTTGGATAAGGGATTTGAATAAACTTGTCTTAAAAAACACCACGATAATGAACAATAGGCTTTACCTTGCCACAAGCCCGACAATGATGCCTTCTTTTAGTAAAGGTGAACTTGACCTCGCACTTCATGCAAATGGGTGCTTGGGAGTCAGGAACCCAAACAGGAGCCACTTCCCCCAAAGAGTTGAAGGGTTTCTTCAATTGCTGTCCTGCCTGAAGGTCATTGTCTGGACTCTCAGAAGGGATGAGCAAGCCAGAAAAGCTATCTCCATGCTCTCCATTCATTCGAAAGACCCCAGACTCAGTTGCTCCACAAGACGCCTCAAGGCCTCCTGTCCTACTCTGTGGCTCCAGGTTCTTGTTCTTGCCAGTGGAGCCAAATTCATTCTGGACTTGGCTCGAGAAAGGCTGGGGAATCTGCAGCTTCAGACTGACAGGCTGTTTCGGGCGGGCACCACCGTAGGGAACGCTGACAGGCTGCAGCCGGTTGTTGTTGAGTTTAACCATTCTGCCAGATTCCAGTCCTCTAAGTGAATCACAACACTCTTGTTTGCTTTCCTCCATTTCCTTTTCCTCTGTCACAGAGTCCTCCTTTGAAGGGACCGCTGACTGGCTTTGCGCATCTCCACCAAGATCCGCAATCAGACCATTGGACAGGGACTTCTCCGCTCCTGATGATTCAGACTCTCTGTGCATTCCCTCGAGGTCACTCTCTATCGTTTTCTCTTTCTCTTCCTGATTTGATGCCCATGTGTCTTTCCCTGCAATTTCATTCTCAACCAGTCCACCATTTTGAAAGGCACCCTCATGATTCTCCCTCTCACAATCCAGTTCTCCGCCATCACTCACTGATTTGTGCAAAACTGCTTCCCCTTTCTGGGGATTACTTCCTTCTGGAAATACCAGATTACAGTCCCTCATTCCGACCTCACGGACAGGTGAACCACTGTCAGACTGGCTTGCCTCCATCTTAGCACCATTATTCAAAACTGGTGGCCCATTCCCACACTGTTCCTCGAGAACAGTGAAATCTTGAAGACCACCACCACTTCCCTCGTTAGTACCATTCTGCTCCGTCTTAAACTCTCGGGGACCAGTGTCCTTAACACTTTGCTCATCCGTAACAGTTTGACATGTCTCATCTTCGTTGACCGGAAGAACGTCAGTCCGGTCACTAAGATCAGGACTAGATGGATAACCGTTTTCCAGCACCACTCTGTTGGAGGACGGCAAGTCTGGCAACTGCCCATCAGTGCTCACCAGCTTGCCAATGTTGGGCTGGGGCAGAGGAGGACTGTGAACATCTGCTGGCCGTTCTTCACTCCTGCCCTCTGGCTGCTGCCCCACCCCCTGTTTCCCATCTAACCTGGTGACCTCAGCCAAAGAGAGGCCATCTGACGTCTGGGCATCTAGAAGCGGCTTGAAGCTGATAGGACTGTCCCTTGGGCTGAGATCGGAGTGGGTCAGTGCTGGATTCAGGGAAAGGAGGTGTGATGGCGGGGCGAGAATCTGGGTCCACTTGGCATCCGAGAGAGTCGGCGTGTCTGTTTCATCTGAAAGGATGAGGAGACAGCTCATTAGCTTCCTTTTTGAGAAGATTGAAACAAACAGAAGATCAACTGAAAAATGAGGTCAGGCTAGATTGGAAAATGTTAAGGAAGTGGGCCAATCTGGTCATCGCCTTGGGATCCATCTGTCAAACTGACACATGAATGCTTTGGAATGTGGGCAGGCATTCCCTTTCTCTTACATGCGTCCAAGCATACACACACACTGCTCTCCCAGCTTATTCGCCTTTCTTCTGGGGCCGTTTAATGGTTTCGAGTCTCCTTTCACCTCCATTAATCTGTCAAGATTAGTGTCGGAGAGGGGATATACGTTCGTTCCACCGTTCAGTGGCGACACTAAGAGGGTGGCTGTGTGTGAGGCAAGTCTGTACGGCTTTTAATGTTCTTTGTGACATACAGGACAAAGCAATCAATACATTTCAAACAGTCAATTTTATATGGTTGTGCACCAGGAGATGTTGTTCCGCTTAACCCAGAACCGTGAACAAAATAACACTAATTGCAATATCCTGCTATAACTCAAATGCATATGCAACCTTAACCTTGTAAATTACATGTGCTTGACTACGTGACACCAATTAAACAGTGTTCAGGAAAATCAGGGAGAGGCAGCAGTCCTAAGGGGAAATGCTAATTCAATTGACCCCATTTACACTACAGACTGCTGCCACCAGCACAGCTACCTGCTTGTGGATGCCATGCTGTGTGCAGTTCAACCCAAGTGGCAACGTCAAACATTTGTTCTACTTCTGTTGGCACCTGTGTTACTCTGTGTTCAGTTCATTATGCTCTAATTCACCTGACTATGTGGGTTATCTGAAGATATGTAAATGTGCTGAGACAAAGTATCTTTTGTTCTGTCTAACATTACAGAAGTATGCCCTCAGAACACCTCTGACTGTCAGAGCTTTATTCTTTTTTTTATTCTAAGCATTCTCCTACCTTCGTTCTGTTCAAACTCATCCAGCACCTTGTCCAAGTTAAAGGCCTCAGCCTGAAAGTAATTCTCCATGGGTCAAGAAACTCCACCCTGCCAAGTGCCGTGTGAACCTGGAAGGGAAGTTGCCTTTTTCATGAGAACATAAATACAATATTTTCCACATGCTCCAGTAATACAGAGCACTAACAATGTAAAACAACTACAACTAGCGATTCATCATAAGTGATTTATCACAGAGCCATTTCCTCTTTAAGAGTACATGTCATGGAATAGTTTATAACTAATATAACCATCAACACAGAATCCCAATGCTCCCAATTATTTTTTTAACAAACTTTAGGTAGTACATTTTATAGTATATAACCATGTAGTCATGACATAAAATAATAATCAGCTTGTCATATCAAAAATAATTACAATATCACTGCATCCCAAATATAAAAGTATGACAGGTCCTAATAAATTGCACCATCTGATTTGTAATTAAGCTAATTAAGTTGAAAAGAAACATTATTCTCACCTGCCCAGAGGTCCTCTTCAGTAATTGCAGGTATATCTGCACAAAGGCTCCTGATAGAGCCCTTGTCTCATCCAGTTTCACACACATTGGACAGCCAAATCTGAAACAGAACAGGATGATAAGACCTCACGAATGACATACAAACTCTACTGGGTTTAATTCTTAGCCTAATGCTAAATAGATGCCTTGTGTTCATGCCTTACAGGTCTGAAATCTTCCAGCTAATCTGTTATTTTAAAAATCAGAGCATTTCCGGTACTTTGCTGAGCTTTGAAGATGGGCAAAATCAGGTGCACAAAGTTGTGGCGGACTCTGTTACACTGTAATAGGCTGTCACTGACAAAGTGGGTAACGGTGAAGGCCGGTCACACATAAGAACGAGGATTACGCCAGAGACAAGATATTCCACCAAGCAAAGGATTCTGAAAGTAGCAGACTAGACACATTTTACGCTTAGTTAAAGATGCACGCTTTGCCACACTGTCAGCACAAAGCTGGGAAGACACGGGAGGAGGGGAATAAGAAACACAGTCATGCAAACTGCTTAAGTGAGGTGGAGGAATAGGACTCCTGAATTTGCATTTACTCTTTTTTTTCTTACCCTGCTGTGTCTTAAAATAACATCTGATATCGCTTTTGACCAGAAAACATTAAAGAAAATGGTATTAAAGAGGGAAGTAACTGTAAAAGAAAACCTTAAATTTACAATACAACAATTGTTTTTCACTTGATTTAGCTTACTTCAGGTTACCAGATTCCATTAGCTGTGGAATCACAGTCACCTTTCCATATATGAAAACACAAATAAGATCCTACTCTGGCTGGCACTGCTAAACTATGCAGAGAAAGTGGCAAGTTACAGGTCAGTTTGTGTGCATCTGTGCATGGCTCATGTCTCAAATACCATTGTGCATATTTTTGCAAGGTACTTCTACATCTACAACCATTAGATTAAGTCCTTGAATTTGAGTGGTGTTCCAGGTCTTTCTTTAGGTTACGTTGTCATACCAGTAGGTGGCGACAAGGGACTGTCTTTACGAGTGAGTCATTGAATTGTACACTTAAAGTTTTTCCTTTCTCTTTGGAGTGTTACAAGCTCTTGGTGCATAAAGAAGATCTGTAAACTTGCAAAGACGAAAGTCTCAAATCCAAAGAGATATTCTTTATAAAAGTTATGCTGGTTGAAAGTCTCTTCACATCCCGATAGCAATCATTAATTTAATTGGTCCAGTGTTTCCCCTGCCATTATATTAGGGGGGCGGCCCTGCAGTCTGCATCGCGCACAGCGGAGTTCCGCCCCGATGCGCGCACACAAGTGAGCACACTCCCACTCCCACTCCCACTAGTATTTGTGAATATCAAGCCGCAAAAAGACTATTTAATAGGGCTGGGTAAAGTATAACTTTACAAGCCGTATCCTGTCTCATGTAATCGCTCAATCAGCGTTTCAGTTGCGCAAAGAAGTCAATTTAAAGTCTTGTAAACAATGTCACGTAACGTCACATTTACCTCAGAAAAAAACATATTCGGTGACCATAAACTCATTAGTCAGCCAGAAAAATAAACTGTAGAGAGGGGCATTTTGCTAAATATATGCACAATATACCATATTCATTATCATTTTTACTGTTCTTATGTTTAATTTATGTTTGAATAAATCCATCAATTTTTATGACAGCCACCATTTAAATGTTTATATTAAAAAAATAAAAAAACGAATAGAAGTAAAAATATTATTATGTAATTAACTTCATTATTTTAAAAACTTCATTAAGTGTAATTTTAGCAGTTGTAGGCTATAGCTTACAAATCAGTCAATTTTAACCTTCAATATTATAGTAATGTAGTACCAAATGACTCTCATGTATATTTTACATTAGTTGAGAGATTTTTTTCCTTAATTTAAACGGAAAAAAACAGAACAACGCGACATACATTCACATCAGTGTTAACTCAGCGGTAGAGTTACAATCACGGGACACTGCACTTATTCGCAGTCACAAAAGTACATTTTTTGCTTCTGCTTTAAAGCCTTGCCGATTAAACGTTTCATTCACGCGCTGTTCTGACATGTGCTTTTTCTGAGCGCCTACACCAGAAGCACACACACTAAACTAGGGCTGCAAGATAAATCGCATGCCATATTTAATGCGCATCTTGTCAGAAAGCCGGTTCTTTAATCAGTGGTAAATCTCCATCGTTACTGAACTAAGTTATCTTTTGCGTTAATACTGTCAAAACACACAAGGTTTACATATAGACTCAGTTGGTTATGTCTAAAATGAAAGTAAACAGTTGAGAGAAAAATGGATTCGTGCCTGTATATTAGATGCATGCAGGTCTTAAAGGGACAGTACTAAACATGCTGCCGACAGTCATTAAAGAGATAGTTCACCCTAAAATTGAATTTCTGTCATTATTTACTCAACTCACATGTTGTCCCAAACCTGTATTAATTTCTTTATTGTGCTGAACACAAAAGAAGATATTTTGAAGAATGTGAGTAACCAAACAGTAGCTGCCGACTGTCATTAAAGGGATAGTTCACCCTAAAATTTAATTTCTGTCATTATTTACTCACTCACATGCTGTATTAATGTATTATCCCAAATGTATTATCACAAACCTGTATTAATTTCTTTCTTGTGCTGATTACAAAAGAAGATATTTTGAAGAATCTGGGTAACCAAACAGTTGCTGGTCCATGAATTTGATAGTAGGAAACAAATACTATGGAAGTCACTGTGGACCAGCAACTGTTTGATTTTCCACGTTCTTCAAAATAGCATTTATGTTCAGCAGAAGAAAGAAACTCATTCAGGTTTAAAACAACTTTTGAGTGAGTAAATGATGGTATAAAAATAAAACACTATGACAGATTTGACAGACAGATGATAGAATTTATATTTTTGGGTGAACTATTCCTTTAATATTAATAAAACAACAAAACACAAAGAGAAAAATGACTCACTACTCTTGACTGAAAAACTTTAATACAGTTGCTTTAAGAGGAATCAATCTATATAGTTTTTTTTTGTTATATGATCATTTGTTCATTCAATTTATTGAATGCTCCTGATAAATACACCTACTGTACCTGAAAATAAAGCACTGTTTGTTTTATTTGTATGTTATGTGTATTTGCAATGTGTATCTTTTTTCTTATTTTTTAATAACTAAGATAAAATAATGACAAGGATTTTTATCCCCCGCTTTAGCCTAAATATCCACCATTCTTTTTTACATTTTGTTACCTTGAAAGGCTTTGTCTTTATAATAAGGAAATTACTTTGGCTGTACTACTCAGACAAAATAGTAAAATCAACATGACAAAGAATCGTGATATTTCCAAAAAAAAAAAAAAATCGTGATATGATATTTTTGCCATATCGCCCACGGGCTTCCCGAGTTTGAATCCTGACTCGAGGACCTTTCCTGATCCCGCCCCCTATCTCTCTCCAACTTCGTTTCCTGTCAGTTATGATCTGTCCTATCATAATAAAATGCAAAAATTCCAAAAAATAAATCTTTAAACCAAAAAATTACAATAATGCTTAATTATGGCCAAAAAGGTCAGAACAACAGCAGAACAATAGGAGGTTCTGATCACAAAAGACAACATTTAACCTAGATCTGACATCACTATCACATATTTAGAATTAAGAAGACCATAACTAAATCTCATGACAGACAAATACCAGTTATCTCTCTGAAAATATACCAGCTGTCCAGCTATGGGGTTATGGAAGCCACTGTTGCACAAAGTAATGTTGAACAAAGACAGAGAGGGTTACTGAGTTTACTGTTATGTTCTGTTTTCCAAAAAATCAAGTTAATTAATGTCAACATCAATCTCTTCTGGTATTGTCCCTGTAATTAGTGAGTTGGAATTTGCTTTGCCATTTAGTAGCTCATGAATAACAAGAAAATATCATACAATAATTTAAAGCCAGCCAACCAAACTCTTTGCATAAAGACTCAAGGAGTAAAATGCCCAGTGTGTGTACAACCTACTGAATGGATTGCGCTTGTATAAACGTAAGCCTTTAATTACAATCCACAACCGTTGCTTATAGATCAGTGGTTCTCAAACTGGGGTACGCGTACCCCTGGGGGTACGTGAGATGACGGTGGGGGGTACGCGAACAAAATTCTGAGTTTTGGCATTCGTTTAATACCCCAACTTAAAGCAACATTAAAACCGAACGTATTTCTGACAAGAAAAATGCCGCTTCTAATGTAAAAACAGGAAAATGGGGGTGCCGTAAACGGTCAAATACATGATATCCAATCAGCTTACCTCATTTTTTGCGGTCAAAACTGACTGCATCCACACAAGCAGCGTGCATGTGATAGGATGCCCGCTGAATATGCTGCTTTAGCAAATCACGCTGCTGTTCAATGTATCTTTAAAGTAGATCTTCACTTAATATAGCATGAAGAGCAAATACTGACACTGTACATTGAGATCGATTTACACTCTCTTCGATACAGACACACTCTGTGCGTGTTATTGTTTTCATGTGTAAGATACGAGCAAGAATGCAAATTTCCCTGAATATCCAAACGATGGCAAATCAGGGGGTACGCCGCTGTAAAAAGTTTGAGAACCGCTGCTATAGATGACTGGCAACAAACTCTTTAAAAACAAGAAAGTTTCCATTAAACCACACTGTGACTCCACCCATGCTGAAATACAACAAGCTTTGTTTTTACACTCCCAGCTAACTGCTGAAGTTCAAGTTGCACCACATAATGGACTATAGACTGAATGTATAGTGCACAGTCTAACTTTTTGGAGACAAGCTGGTTGTGACTCATAATACCAGGGACGATACCTGATTAAGATTTAATTACTCGGTAGATTATCTGAATAATACATGCACAGTCAGTGTCAACTAAGGTGCTGTATTTTTACACCTGTAAACTTAGAATGAGTAATACGGTTTTACATTCAGACATTTAAAAGTCATTTGCAATACTTTTGGGATTGCCAAGAAGTGGAATAACATTTTAGCAATATGTGCTACCACTGAACTGACACTGAACTGGCAGATGAATCGCCTTTGATTATGAACGCGATACTGCGTAGCTTGTCAGTGAACTACGGCTCTGTGTATTAAATGCTGCTCCATCTGAAAGCACGTGATGGAGATTTACTAATCACAGAACCGGCTTTACTGACAAGATGCGCATGACAATCGCATGCGATTTATCGTGCAGCCCTAATTAATAATTTCAGAAAAATCACCCAGCCTAAGTTTGCTTATAGGGATGAAGAGATTCCAAAAATGGAAATTCTGTCATTAATTACTCACCCTCATGTCGTTCCAAACCTGCAAGACATTTGTTCATCTTCGGAACACAAATTAAAATATTTATGATGCATTTCAAGAGCTCTCTGACCCTCCCATAGACAGCAAGGATCCTTACACGATCAAGGTCCAGAAACATAGCAAGGAGATCGTTAAAATAATCCACGTGACATCAGTGTAGAGGTCTACGCGGGACTGTTTTTTTAGTCCCGCTCCCGCAAGGTTCTATTCCGCACCCACCCGCTCCCGCTATACAGTATATTCACTCTGTTCACCCGCTGTCCACTTAGAATAATTTTCTTCCCGACCCGACCGTTCCCGCTAAATTTAGATCTCATTTTCAGAATCTCACATTTAAATTTCCGCTACTAAAAGAAAGAGAGATAGGCTGACAAATAAAAGTGTAGTCTGCACAAAATTGTATGTTATTTTATTCGTCTTGTCAAGAATCTTGAATTTATTAACTTTGACTTGAATTTATATGAATTATCTTAAGACACAAAATTACTCTGTGTCAGTAGCACCGTATGCGGATACGCTGTTTACGTTGTTTACGCTTTGATCTCAACGAAAACAACGTATCCATGTACATACGTTGTTTACGTATGTGATACTCTCCAAAATGGCGCTATAGGGTGACGCAGAGGCACTATAGGGTTATTCAACGAATTGTTGAATAAAGTCGTTATTTTTGTTTTCTTTGCATACAAAAAGTAAAAGCTTGTATGGCTCATCCACTATGATACAGTGAGAATATGGAGCTCACATTTAAGGAGGAAAAAACACCTCAAATTTAATTTACATTTTGGGGGCAAAACATATAATGCAGGTGTTCTCAAAGTTTACATTCAAAGGTCCGAATCTGAATTCTCATCAACGTCAGAAGGTCCGAAATAATTATTACAAAACTTTTTTTTAATAAACATGCTTATAACTTTATATAACAATTCAACTTTATATATGCTAATTATCATATTAATGAATAAAGTACTGCATTTTTATACAACTAAATGGCCAATAAAGCAGTTCTCATGTACATATTTTCTCTTTCTGAAACAGTACTTCAATGTAAGCTAAAGTCACTTCAACTGAATTGCTAAAATCTTGAATTACAACTGCAATACGCTGTTATACAGCAGTGAATGATATTACTTTATTTTATATACCATACAGCACAAACGTCCGTCTGTGTAACAAAATATGTGCATATTTACAGACGAACTACATTCATGTTCATATGCCCAGACAGTCAACAGTGATAGGTTTTTGGAAACGCTGTTTTGTACTCATTCATTAACAAGTCTGTTGTGGCTTGGTCAGTTGAATGTGCTACTAACTCTGCCGGTCGAGAAAAACCTCACGCACGCGGGGCGAAACCGGTGACATTATTCTACTGAATGAAAGCTAAAAGGTTTATCCAAAATGTCGCTAGTTGCTATGCGCTTTGTCTTCCAAAAAAGTCAGTAAAAACTGCAACATGGGTTCGTGCGCCCCTGTGTCTGTGTCTGTCTGTCTGTCTGTCTGTGTGTGTGTGTGTGTGTGTGTGAGTGATACGAGTGCACTTGAAATACGAAGTGGAGGTGGGTCCGGATCGAATTCCCTCCCGGTCCAGATCCTATCCTCCCAGACTTTGAGAAGGGCTGATATAATGCAATACAATGATGATGTACAAATAAGAGATGTACAAATAAGCCTTCCTCAAAAGCCTGTTGCATCCTGTTTGATACATTCTATCTAGAAATCATGTATGGACAATCAGTGGACATTTTAAGAATAATACTAGAAAAAGGCCTTTTACTTAAGGAAAAAGTATTAACTATCAATAAGAATGCAGAAGGCATGTAGAGGATTGCTTTCAACAGATTTTTTAGCAAAGTTTTGATCAACGTTGACAATTTAGAGGTCTTAGAAATTCACATTTCAAATATAATGCTAAAGGCTTCTTAGGGTTAAACATAGGCTTCTTAGGGTTAAACATATATTACCACATTCCTCTGACGGTTTCCTACGATCATTATCGGCACTCCCTGAATTCCCAGTAAAAACTATTCTCACAAGCATCCGCCTACATATTATTAATGTCACATGACTAAGATAAGTTTGAACTTGATCATTTTTTGTAGATTATGCAATGCTGAGATATTTCAGTGTAGTTTCACTTTTAATCAAGTACAGACTTCCTGCTATTGTTCATTTTGCAAAGCATCTTTCTGCAGCACATTGTGCCGCCAAGACTGTTGACGGGAAGCTCAGTTTGATTGCTTCCGCACTCCAGGAATGGTTTCCCTGTCACTTTCTTGCTGCTGCCTGGATAAACTTTAAGACCTGTTGTTGCATTTGATTTCACCAAATCCAAAAAAGTCGTCCAGAACATACTGCTGCATAAATTAAGGAAAAATACAACAATGCACATCACAACAAACATCTCTATTACAGGATTTTACTTTCATCTACCCTTAAAGAAAGAGAATGAAAATAGCATCTGATGAACTAGCTCTTGTTCCTGTGTCAGTGTCATATTTAAAAGAAAAAGCATTAGAAGTAGCTCAGACGTCTTTAGACAGCAGGGCTAACTACAGGGCTATCTGTTGCTGAAAGAAGCTGAAATCTGTCAACCTGTCACTGGGTTCACTGGATTTCAAAAGCATCATATCCTCGCTTCCTTAAAGCATCTCAAACAAGTGTGTAAGTCACATTAGAAAGCTGAATGAGTAACTTTAACTTCTGCATTGCAAATGTTGATTCACTCTGACAAAACAAGTACCAAACCCTTGATGACTATATACTCCCAACCTACCACGAAAAGTCAAATCTCTATATAAGCAAAGTTTAATATGACCATACGTTTTCTTGATTGCTGGTCTTTGCAAACCATATTCCTAATTGCTTTCCAAAACACTGGCAAGCTTTCTATGAAACCTGTGGTTGATTACTGCCAAAAGTTACCACTTTATTTAAAAAAAAAAAAGAAAAAATTACAAAATTTTTAACGGTATTTTATATTTGAAAGCATTAGAAATTTTGATTCATATATATTCGCTATTTACAAACAAACTCCTGAGGTTTTAAGCAGTATATGGTTAGTAATGATATGTTAATGTTGTGTGTTGTAAGTGTTACCTCATCAATAATTACTGGAACGCGTCTAATAATTATAATACTAATATAATATTAACCAGACCAAACTGTATTAGGAGCCTATATAAAAGTCACATGTTTAACCGTTTACTGGGGTTTATTCTGCAGTCTCTAAGGACTCTGTTACCGTTAGCTAACTAACATTAGCCTGTCAAATAACCCGCTCCAGTTATTAACTTTGTGCTTCACTGCGTGTGTTTACTAACCTGATTACAAGCTATTTTCACACGCTTCACAAAACATAACAACGCGTGAGCCTAAATTCATCTTTAGCAAAAACACACATTAAAGAGTCATAGTTTACAGCTTGCAAATTATCCATTTTCAATCTCGCCTGTATTAAGTAGCCTAGTGAAATGCTGTATTCGTTAGGCTTCTATAGTAAACACATCACAGATGTGATAAGCGAAAAACAGTTTGTGGGTTAATCGTTTACTCACCGGTGGAATCCCCATCATCATCATCATCATCATCATCTTCAAGCACAGTTCAGCCATGAAACTCCGCGGGAAAAATCCAACATACTTCGTGTCATATAAGCAAGCGACAATGTCTTTGACATCTGCAGGATATCTCCAGGCACAGCTAGGCCATTTTCCAGTGCTCCACAGAAGTGGAGGAAGAAGTAGTTTGTGCGACAGCTGTCGTATATCCCTCCCCCAAAGGTTTAATGGAGAAGGTTACTACGAACTGCAGCAAAGGTGAGACATTTTGGCTCAAGCTACGCTGAAGTGGTGTGAAATTCCCATGCTAGCGACTTTCATTTGAGCCAAGATGGCGTCTGTTTCTGGGGTGGTAAGCGCTTCACGGCGGGTGGCACTGGATCCAGAGGAAACATTACCGTGGGGCGGCACCCGAGTCCGCGTGACGTCGTTACGATGCAACAATGTATCGTCTTCAGAGATCGGATTCACATTGACATTTGGCAATGAACTTATGAAATAAACAGATCTTGAGCAGCTGGACAGTATTTAAGTACACATTTGTTTGATTCGATATTTCAGTTTTATACATTTTAAGCATACATTTAAGAAGTGGTTGCTGCAAATATGTAAAAGTGTCTTATAGATATAATTAAAATTCTGAATTAATTTCTGAATGTTGCACTGTCATTTGTTATTGATCATTTGTTTTCATTTCTTCCACTGTGCTTTATATCATGTTAAACTTTCAGAGCTGTTTGAAAGTTATTTAAATTCCTGAATGCTTATGAGAAATTATAGAAAAATTGCACCAACCAGTTGCTTATTCAAAAGCATTCTAGTTTATCAATATGTAAGCTCAAATATTTAGTTCATACATAAAAAATTATGTTTATATAAACCTGAATATATAATATATATATATTATATAGAATATACCTTTTAAAGAATAGAAAGGATAGCACAAAGTTGTCTGAAAGGCAGGGTTTGTTGTCAACGGTGTACTTTGCTTTATACAAGAGTGAAACTACAAATACAAATACGTGACTACGAATGTCAAGAGGAAAAGAATGCATCTCTGTGGTACATAAATACAGCCTTCACCTACTGTGCTGTGGAAGACTTGGCTCATGAATATTAATTAGATTAAGTGTTGGACGTTCCAGGAAGGTTACCAAGCAACGTCGACTTAAACGATTAATATTCATGAACTATTAACATTCGTTTAATTTCCCCAGCCTCACTCTAGAGCGACACCAAGCGTTCATTGCGTCAAGTACACAAGCATATTTATGCACAGTATTTCTTCTTTTAATCCTTTTGAAACGTAAAAAAAAGGAAAGAAAAAGGAAAACAATTAGCCTAATGTGTTTCGTTATGGAGTATGTATGCAATGTAGTCACTCTCTGACACTATAACCTATTGTATTGCACTGCCATAGTAGGCTTACTCTGCTGAAACAGCTAAATGTATGATATGTGATGAGGCTAGATGCACGTGGCCACATAGGGCCTTACCGAACTTACTGAAATATTCTGCAACTAAATAAGCAAATAAATAAACGTGTTGAACTTGTTAAGCTTAAATCTCTGCAATTAGTAAAAGTGGAAGGTGTGAGTGACATATGCTCTTTCAAGACACTTATAGTGTCCAAAAATGTGCATAGAGATGGGTTGTATTATTATAACCAGAAATAAAGAATTGGATGCCAGGTGTGAATCAACTGAGATTCACAAGACATTCAATATTAAACTATTAAAGAAATTGGTCTCATTTTGGAGAATTCGATGGCAGAATGTCTACATTAGAAAAAAACAAACTGATGGCATAAATTAAACTGCCATTAAACTACATATTATATCAGTTCCTTTTCAACTAATAACAATGAATGCAAGCAAACAAAGTTTGCCTTCACATAAGCAGGCTTTCAAGAGCTATGTTCCACACTCTAATTAAACTGTTGGAGGTAAATGCCTATATATATATTCAGTGAAAAAAGCCTTAGAGATGTAGCCCCAGCTGTTAGTGGGACAGAAGAAGAGGATGAGCAGAAGGAAAAGCAGCATGAACACAACACTCACAGATGCAGAGATGATATTAATCAGAAACGTCACTACAATAACATGTTCAGCACATAAATTTACAAGGTAATGTTACATGGACCTAATTTTTGCTTGCCCTATGAGGACAGAGAATATAAAACCTTCAAAATATGTGTAATATTCATAATATTTATAGTTAGTAATGTAACCTATTGGATTACACATATTAGGAAATGTATTCTGACTACTTTTTTATTTCTTTTAAAGTACTTTTGACCTGACATTTGAATGGGATTGTTGTTTACTACATTGATTTAAAAAAAAAAAGAGAGAAAGAAAATATATTTCTATTCTTAACATCATCAAGTTTATTAAACAGTACATTACATCAGGTTAGGTTAATGAAAGAACTGTAGAGTTGAAAAGATAATTAATGAAATCATAAAAATGTCAAATTAAAACAATAAAAAGTTTTAAAATAAAAATAAGCAAAATAAAACATGAAAAGATAAAAAAAAAAAATGTCAATGTGATTAACCAACTCCAATGTGTTGTTAAATAATAGAAATAATAATTTAAAATCTCAAGTAAATATTTTAGGTCAAGGGGGTTAGGATGACAAAAATGTCCCTGCATTATATGAACAAACATTAATAAACAGAAATGACATAACACAGCCAAAGTCCTCCAGGTTTGAATTATTTTTGTGCAGATGTCTAGAATCAATACTTAGTGATGATGACTGGATATAATGAAGAAATTTTACATATTTATTAACTTGCATACTTATTCATCTCATACATGGTCTAATTGATTGAGTTGTGCTTTTGTCCCCAAATTCAAATATCTGATTTTCAAAGGGTCTCTTTAAATCACCAAAGAATTCTTTTAGCAGATTCTATATTCATATTCAAGGTTCCTAGCAATCTGTCAGAGCTCTCCCTGATGTTCTCTCTACAGCTCATTTTATGTCTGAGACTGGAATTTGTTACATAATTTACACATTAGGGTCTTCACTTTAAATTTCTCTTGCTCATCATTTGAGATCTCATGGAATAATATAAAGTACCCATCTAGAACAATAAACTAGTTCTACCACAATCGTTGTCATTTCCTGAACCATCTTAACCTGACCAGGAGTGCTAAGTTCCCATTCAGCTGAATCAGCAAAAGCAGAACATGATCCCTATCATAAACAGGCAAAAATTCAAATAGTTTTCTTCTCTTTAGATATGGGATGCCACTGTCCAGATGATGAGATTTTCCCCATGACTCTCTGACTCATGGCTTCTTGGGAATTGGTGAGGTCAAATTTGTTCAAAAATACAGTAAAAAAAATATCAAATACACAGTAAAACGGTAATATTGTGACATATTGTTATCATTTAAAATAACTATGTTCTACTTAATATATTTTAAAATGTAATTTTTCTTAATCTTCAGTGTCCTTCAGAATGATCCTTCAGAAAATACATGGGAAGTCGTGGCCTAATGGTTAGAGCAGGGGTGTTCAAACTCGGTCCTGGATGGCCGGTGTCCTGAAGAGTTTAGTTCCAACCCCAATTAAACACACCTGAACCAGCTAATCAAGCTCTTACTAGGCATACTAGAAACTTAAAGGCAGGTGTGTTGAGGCAAGTTGGAGCTAAACTCTGCAGGACACCGGCCCTCCAGGACCGAGTTTGGGCAGCCCTGGGTTAGAGTGTCGGACTCGTAACCCAAAGGTTGCGAGCTCGAGTCTCAGGTCCGGCAGGGATTGTAGGTGGGGGGAGTGAATGTACAGCGCTCTCTCCCACCTTCAATACCACGACTGAGGTGCCCTTGAGCAAGGCAACGAACCCCCAACTGCTCCTCGGGCGCCGCAGCATAAATGGCTGCCCACTGCTCCGGGTGTGTGTTCATGGTGTGTGTGTGTTCACTGCTGTGTGTGTGCACTTAGGATGAGTTAAATGCAGAGCACTGATTCCTAGTATGGGTGGCCACACTTCACTTCACTAATATGCTGATATGCTGAAAACAGTTGCTTAATATTTTTGTGTAAAATGTGATGCATTTTCTTCGACGAATAAAGTTCGAAAGAACAGCATTTATTTGGAATCTTTTGTAATATTATAAATGTCTTTGCTGTCACTTTCGATCAATTTAATGTGACCTTGCTGAATGAAAGTATTAATTTCTATTTCGGACTATTTTCCCAAATTTTTGAACAGTAGTGTACATGTCTTCTACTATTAAATCCACTGCAGTAAAACTGTCTGCATAGTGCATTCGTTAAGGATACATACTGTACATTTCAAAGAAGAAGTAAAGCTAAATTTTGAGTTCAGTGTTTAGATGAAAACACTATCCACACCACAAATTAAATGAAAATATATTTAAATATTTAGATATGTAAAATTTATTTTTTTTAAAACTCAAAATGTGGGTAATATAACAATAGAGGAGGACAAAGTACTGTGTATTAAAAGAAAATATATTAAAATATTTTCTTAAATATTTTTGTCACTGATGCATTGACTCTGTTTCGTGTCAATGCATCAGTGTTCCAATGCAATACAATTTTGGATTAATGACAAGGTTGTTTTTTTTTACAAAATATTGTAAATACTATTTTTACACAAAATATATGATATACACAAACATTTCATAATTATAACTTGGAGTGTATAGATAAAGTGACCTTTCCTGTGTGTGCACTGCACCACCTCTGCATTGTCACACATTCTGTCGCAGTTATCTTCCATGTGCTATCACACCATGTAGAGTCAATTCAACCTTCATGCCGGCTATAAAATAAATAAATATAATCTGTGATATATATGTAAAAAAAAAAAACATGTAGCACTCACCAGAAACTGTATTCAGTTCAGAACAGTTTGTCTGTTTTAAAAGTTCAATGGGTGCGTCTCAACAGGTGAGTCAGTTCAGCTATGATCCAGCAGATGGCACAGTGTTGTCGTTTATGCATCATGTACTTTCTCCTCTGTAAGTCTCTGAGCTCCAGCAAAGTGCGTGGCCCTCCATTGCCTTGAAGTTGGACCATTGTTAAAATTGATTGGGACTGTCTGGTCCCATTATACAAGGTTGAAGAAAAGCTGAGATTAGAAGTCAGTTTTTCAGTCTAGCACCTCTTTGCCATCTCTGCAATGAGCCACTCCAGTTTGCCAGTTAGCAGAAGCCCAAAGTGCTTCAACACCAAACCAAAATGCTTAGAGGGCTGACCTAGACATAGCTCTGCCTGGGGCCCTACCTGCTCCCCCTGCTGGACGAGACAAAGATGGACAGATAAGGAAAATGGTGTTCAAGCTAAAAATAGTCATAGCACTCATGTTGAAGCAGGGAAAAACAGAAAGGATTTTAACGGAC